ATCTGTCTTCAAAGGACAGCTCGGAAAATTAATATCAACTTGCTCTCAGGCAATGTTAGGACAAAATAAATCAAATTAAGACATTCCCACTTCTCTGTGCTATTTTTTTTTTAATTATTTTGCCTATTTGGCAAAATGATCTTATCTACTTTTTGTCTTTAAAAAGATTCACTTTTAGTGCTCAGGGTGGATACTTGATAAAAAATTGTTCTTATTTTAAAATGTATGCCCTCAAGTTAAGAATCTCATGAAAGCTATTGGATATTTTAATCCTGCTGGAAGGTGGGGAAATAAGAAGATTGTCTATTTTTATTATTCAAATGAGAATAATGCATCATCTTGCTTCTTGAAGCTGCTTTCACTTCAAATTTAACAACCACAATCATTAGATAATGAAATTTGCATTTGTAATAATTCCTGATGTTGACTGAAGTTCGTTTGCTGTGAGATAGTTTAGCGCTTTTGATTCCAAGCAGCTGAAAATGTTTTCTGTCACATTAAAACCTGCTTTTTATGGCTTAGCAAAACTGGAATTTATTAACAAAGAATTAAAAGCTAAGCTTTTTGGGCAACGTTTTTACTGAAACAAGGTTAAGAGTAACAAGAAAAAATGGACCCTGCATCCTTTCTCCTTTCCTCCATCTCTCCATGCCCCTTATTTTCTAAAAGTATCTGTTTGAGAGATAAATGACCACTCTGCTGCCGAGGATGACAGCCTACACAAAGATGATATTGAATTGATTTCAGAAATGTTGCAGAACTGACTGTTTGATGTATACTGCTAGACATGAATCATAAAAATTCTATTAAAAAACCCTTGAAGGGCTGACACCAGAATATTATTTGTGATGATTAATTTGACTCAGTCATTACAATTGGAGTCAAGTTGGATCGTCTCAGACAAAATTGCTTTTCATTCCCTGTTGAATTTCACTGCTATTTTTCTTTTCTTCTTGCTCTGTGCAGGACTCTGATTTGATTGGGCTTTATGTGTTTGAGAAGCAGCACACGCATGCATTGAGCACTGGTCAGCTTTATTACTGACATTTGAGCTTCAGGTTTGGTTCCAAAGTGAGGCGTTTTATGCTTAAATCTAAAATATAGATATAATATATGGAGCAGATAAAAATAAACTTTTTTTAAATCATGAAATAAAATAAATAAAATTAAAACAATATGTTTGAAAAAAAAACTTTGATGTCTGTCTGTCTGTCATATAAATAGATTTATGTCTAAGGCGTTTTAAAATGATCTGAACAAAACTTATTTCGACTTGTTGACAAAGGAAATCTCAATTTGTTGCAGATCTAGGTCAATGATTTTGAAATGCTCTTTTAGGTTAAACTTGTTTTTTTTCCTTTGTTTTATTTTTTAATGTTTTGTTATGTTTAACTCACCAGCTAATCACTAACCAGTATAGCCTTGAGAGATGTGTATTTAAAAAAAGGACAAAAAATATGACAGTCAGTGAGTGTTATTGTGAGTGTACATTCCAGTTTTGCACAAGTTTAATTCAATTCAGTTTATTTATATAGAGTCAATTCACAGCAAAGTTGTTTCAGGGCACTTTACAGAAACACTCACATGCATAGAAAAGCCAATTAGTAAAGTTCTCTATCTAAGGAGTCCAGCAGACTCATTGAATTTTCACTTCGTCACAGTCTCCCATCCTGAGCAAGCACAATGGCAACAGTGGAAAGGAAAAACTCCCTTTTAAAAGGAAGAAACCTCCAGCAGAACCAGGCTCAGGACAAGCAGCCATCTGCTTTGACCAGCTGGGTTTGAGAAGACAGGAAGTAGAGACAAACACACACAGAATGGCAGGTCCAGATATAGGTGAAGGTGTACCTGAAAGACAAAAAAAAAAAAACCCACATGTGAAGGATAGAAAAAATAATTACAAATACAAAACAAATTGAGCAGAGTAAGTAAAGACAGAAGTATAATGAAGAAATGTGGTCATTTTGTCCTCTAGCAGTCTAAACCTGTAACAGTATAACTAAGGGACAGCTCAGGAAACCCAAGCCAACCCTAACTATAGGATTTATCAAAAAGGAAAGTCTTAAGCCCCGTCTTAAAACTGGACAATGTGTCAGCCTCATGGACAGAAACTGGAAGTTGGTTCCACAAGAGAGGAGTCTGATAACTGAAAGATCTTCCTCCCATTCTGCTTTTAGAAACTCTAGGGACCACAAGTAAACATGCAGTCTGAGAGTGAAGTGCTCTGTTAGGAAAATATGGAATAATAAGATCTGTAATAGGATTCAAGTATTTTTTATTGTCATAACAGCTCACATTTTCATGTTTGTGGTACAAAATTTGGACTCAGGTCCCAGATCAAGAAGCCTAACAATTAACAAATAAATAAATACAAAAGAGATGGAGCTATTTTTTATATAAAATATAATATAAGATGGAGCTAGGTTGTTGAGAGCTTTGTAGGTTAGAAGTAAGAATTTGAATTCAATTCTGGATTTGACAGGGAGCCAATGGAGATAAGCTAAAACTGGAGAGATATGATTTCTCCTACTAACTCCAGTTAAGACTCTGGCAGCAGCATTTTGGATTAATTGAAGACTTATTAAAGAAGTGTTTGGACACTCAGATAAACCATTGCAATAGTCCAGTCTAGATGTGACAAATGCATGAACCAGTTTTTCTGCATCATTTCAAGGTAAGATGTTCATGTAACATTTTTAATGTGGGGGATAAAAGACATGTCTGGATCAAAAATAACACCAAGATTTTTAACATTAGAGCAGCAGGCCAGATTAATGCCATCCAAGGAGGGTGAAAGACTGAAAAATGTGTTCCTAAGATGCTCATGTCCATAAAACAAAACCTCAGTTTGTCTGTATTCAAAGGTAGAACATTTAGGGTCATCCAGGTTTTTATGTCTTTAAGACATGCTTGTAGTCAAAGTAACTGATTGGATTTATTGGGTTTCATGGACAAATATAAATTCATCCCATGCTGTTTAATAACGTTACCTAATGGAAGCATATATAAAGTAAAGAGCATTGGTCCAAGCACTGATCCCTGAGGAACTCCATGACTAACTTTGGTGTATGAACAATATGCTTTATTTATATTTACAAACTGGAATCTATCAGATAAATATGATTTAAACATTTTTAGAGCTGTTCCTGTAATCCCAATATCATATTCAAGCCTCTGTAGTAAAATATTGTGATAAACTGTATCAGATGCAGCAATAAGGTCTAACAGGACCAGTATAGACACAAGTCAGTTGTCTGAGGCCATGAGAATATCATTAGTGAATTTTACTATACAAGTTTATACAATGTTTAAGTGAAAAACATATTAACTTTCAAATCTGAGATTCTTTAATTTCGCTTTCTTTACTTTTTCTCCACCTTTAATTTTATACCAAAACTCCAAACCAAGTTTGAAACCAAACAAATATTTTATTTTTTATTGGTTGATTGATTGAGATTGGACAGAAAACTTTACATGACATACTTATGTTCTGTCATCATCACCAACATGGATATCTTCAGATCTGATAGACTTTCTGACATGGCAAGGACTCTTCACATAGAGTAACTAAAGAAAACGTGTTTAGGCCCCCTTAATATCAGAGTCAGAGTTTCTTTATTGTCATTCGCACCTCATGTGGTACATGTGGTGGAGCGAAATTATGTACACAGGGTCCCAGTTACATCCAACAATAAAATCTATAAGAAAAACAGTAATAACATCTAAGATATGAACTAAGAAAAACATCAACCAAATATACACTAAGCACTATAATATAATATATATATAATATATGATAATGGCTTCCTGCTTGTTCTTAATGTCATGTTTCTACAATTAATTACTGTAGCTTTTGCATCTTTAAGTGGTGCTCGTCGCTCATTCTAATTTTCTATTAGCATCAGTCCCTGAAACACCCAGGACGTTTGCACATCATTAAACCCCATTTTTGTGCAAAACGTATCTCTTCTGAACATGGATTTTCTTCTTTTAACAAGTTAACATTTTTTTTTAAACAGAGGATCAAATAAACTATGATTAATCTTAATAATTCAAGGTTCTTTATTGTCATTCGCATCACATGTGGTACATGAGGTGGAATGAAATTGCGTACTCAAGGTGTATTTTTGACTTAAAGGTGTATAACTGTTTTCCAAAAATTCCACTCAGATGTGCCAGTATAACCATAAAAGATTCAAGACACTTTGCCTTTTTTGGGGAGCAGCTTCGGATGTTATCAGTCCATTAAATGGCCGTTATTATTTGTTATCATCCCCATATGTAGCGGTGAGACTGTCCCACCTACTTTCTAGTAGGTTTAAAGGTACGTTATTATCATTATTATCGCTGATAATAGGCAGTGTCGCACGGGGGTAAACCAGGAAGTGTGTTTTTTGTTTTTTCAGCTTATGTAACCCTTTTCCTAAACCTAACCTTACACCTGACCCAAAGGACCAACCCTAAACTTAACCACTACCTTGTGCCTAAACCTAACCAAGACCCTAAACCTAACCGCCAGACCCTTTACTCTTAACCTAACCATGCAAAGCTATTATGAGCGCTAACAAAGGTAAAAACGGAGCCTATTATCTTCGCTAACAATGTACCTTTAAACCCACTAGGAGGTACAGGAGGGGCAGTCTGACTGCTACATATGAACATGATAAGAACTAACAATGACCATTTAATGGCTGATAACATTCAAAGCAGATGCTTTGGGACAAGATGTCCTGCTACATCTGGTCAAGCTCATCACCAAAATTTACATTTTTATGCATTTCCTCAGTGCATAAGTGAATAGTAGGCCTTTTTCGTAGATTGTTTTCTCTGAAATGCACTCTTGAGACTGTGACTTCATATACGCACTTTTATAATTTGAATATTTTCTTGATAAACTGAACATTTTTCCAATACAACGGTTATTTTAAATAAAAAAAAAATTCATATTTTCATATAAATTTATTGACTTTGTTTTCTCTTGTTTCTGTCCCTCCCCTCAGAGCTACACAGGCCAAACAGGTGGCGGTGGGGGAGGCGGCGGAGGTGGTGGCGCCTCAAGTGGAAATGGAACTGGGGATGAAGACTATGAAATCCCTCCAATCACTCCACCCAACCACCCTGAGCCACATCTTCTTCACCTGATGGAGCATGACTCTACAGGCTACCTCTGTCACTCGCTGCCACACAATGGGCTCATCAACCCCTACTCCTACACTGAGCTGCCTACGCTCATGATGTCGAACATGTTGGCACAGGACGGCCACCTTGTCTCCAGCCAAATGCCTTCGGTGAGTAGAACTGCCTGGACCGACGAGGCCCTGAGGCTCCTGAAATACTCCTGAAATACAAAAATACTTCTTGTTTTGCTTCAAAATAATAATAATAAAAAGTCCAGTAATTCTGGCAGTAAAAAAACAAACAAAAAAAAAAACAGATTCATCATTGCTTTGTCACTTTAAGAGTATCCCTATTGAACAGTTTAGGCTATTTCAATGCATGTGAACCTGACATTAAAAAAAACATTTCAACCTTATTAAAGCCATGATTTCTAACATGAAGTAAACTAGACTCCTAAAATATAGTTTTAACAGTAGATATGCTAAGGCTTAATGGAACAAAAAATTGTTCACTGTTTGCTTTTTCGCCTCTAATGTATAAAAAGACGGATTGTGGGTAAATTCATCAGCATCATATCTGCCTCGACAGCCTGCATCGGTCAATCTGTCAGGCCTTCAAACATGAATACATGCTGATTACTCCCTCAGCTTCGCTCAAAAAAAAGCTCCTGGAATTAGCATTTCTAAACCATAATTGCGTTCATGTGAACTGCTGGAGGAAGCAGCCTATCGCAACGCTACATATATGCAAAATGTAGGTATAAAATATATATGTGCAGGATTCATTTTAATCATAACTCTTATATGGAGCTCTGAAAATGTAAAATAATGTTAAATTTAGACGTGAACTTGAAGTTCAAGTTATTCTTTTGTAGACCATTGTGAAACAAAAATGGAAGTACTGTAAAGAAAAGTGTACCTTTTAAGTTAGATACAGCCAGATCTGAACGTATCTCTTTGAAATTGGAAGTGATTGATGTTTTTTTTATTTATTTACATCACTGAAATTGCAGGAAAAAAATAGATATGGTAACCAATTATAGTGTAAGATGCTTTTGCTTTTAGGGCTTGAAGGTCAACAGTTTTATATCTTAAATTGTACTTAGCATTAACTAATTTATTACATTATAAGTATCTGAAGAAATAAAAATATATGAAAGCTGTTTTTCTCAGAAATCTACCAAAGAAATTTGGTTTACAGTTGCTTTTTACAATTATTTTCATGTTATAATCACAAATAGCAGTGCAAATCACAGTGTTTTGCATGTTTGTGAAACATGTAAGTACGTTATCTTTATGCAGTATACATTTGATGTATTCAGATGGATGTCAAAGTCAAGTATGATACATAACGTTTACTACAAACAAGTGAAAAGGGAATACGATAGTCACAGTGCAGTCAAAATATGCCTCGATAAAGATCAGAAATATAAACATGCTATGCTTTATATATAAGCAGGAATATTCCCTCAAGATATTAGATTCAAAAGTCATTTATCTTCATATTCATTTCCCATTTTGGTCATGACCTTTACTGTTGAGACATTGGTTGATTGGCTGGTCTTTCACTCTGCAGTTAGTGTGTTTGTTTCTGCGGCAAAGAGCCATACTTCAGTTTTAATAGACTGAATACAGCAGGCTGAATAATAAAAATGTATGAGATTCTAGATGCTCAGGTCACACAACATATTGAACATATATTTAAAATGCATTCATTACAAAATGCTAGGGACTGACTGAGAGTGCTGCTCTGATAACCTCGGTTCATTTAAAGGGCATTTTTGGAAATAGACGTACAATAATAATGGTAATGCAAATGTTATTTTGAATCAAGTTTAGATTATACAAAAATACATATAGATTAAAACACGGTGCACTCTGGCTCTTTCTCAGCATCAGAATATAAAATGCATGGATGAACACAAAGCACATACATTATGGCAAAGTTTAGGGACATTTTAAGACTGGAATTAACACCTTTAGAATACCAGTTTTCAGTGAGGTGTATGACGGTAGCCCTGAGGTGTAAATGAACAACATTTGAAAAAAACAAACAAACAAACAAAAAGAAGAAAGTGGAAGTGGCCAAAGCGGAAGCAGCCAAAGTGGAAGTAGTGAAAAAATGGAATTACATTAGAAAAATCAGAATTTTATTAAGCCAAACCGAGGGTGACAGGTATTTAGAGTAACAGAGTGGACAGTTGGCTCAGGGACTCAATTTATTTTTAATGATTTAAGCATAAAATATATTTTGATATCATAAATGTCATTGGATGAGAACTATTATACTGTTAATAGTACTATAAAAATATTATTATTATTTATTTATTTATTTTGTTATTTCTTAGAATTGTAACTTAATTTCAGAAAGCATAAAAATTGATATGGCAATAAACGCGTTACATTTAAAATTAGACTTAATTATTTCAAATAAATTCATCTTGTGTACATCCATCCATCCATCCATCCATTATCTTTACCCGCTTATTCCATTTTGGGTCACGGGGGTCGCTGGTGCCCATGTCCAGCAATCACTGTGCGAGGGGCGGGGTACACCCTGGACGGGTCGCAAGTCCATCACAGGGCTCTTGTGTACATATGGTTGTGTTTTATGGTAGAGGTGAGTCCAACATAAAGGATGAGATTAATAAAATACATATTAGCCTACCTTTAAAGAAAATATACCACATTATGGCATGGGAACACAAAAGGCACAGAAGAGTAGGAATGACCCTATTGTACATTGTTCTGTTTTATGTTGTTGATAAAGTAAAAAAAAAAAAAAAAAACTTCCGGTTTGGCTAAATGCAATTCTGTTTTTTCAAATGTAATTTCATTTTTTGAAATATAATTCAGTTTTTTCAAATGTGGTTCATTTACACCTCAGGGCCACCGTAGATTCATGATTGTTTGCAAATTATACTTTGAAACTGAACCTCTCAAGTCCAGCTTTATCCATCGTCTTCTAAAATAAGCTTGGAGATCTTTTCATTCCTCTGCTTCAACTTCACTCCAGAAAGCAGCACAGAAAGCAAACTCTTTCGAAATCAAATAGTCTGCCTGGTAAAACTAGCAAACCGTAGCAGAGTTTCATTTGTGCTGAGAGCCGAGTGTCTATTAAATTGGTGCCTCACCTTGACATAGTCTGTTGAGCAGAGTAATTAAGCAAACTCTGCAGTTCAAACATGAGATGGTATCATTATGAATTTTCCACTTGACACGGATGGCTAAATAATGAAGGGTTAATTCAAATTTTTATCTTTTGGTAGCTGGCGAGCACACCACGCAAAGTATCGTGTGTTCATGTTGACAATGTATTTTACATGTGTGTCCGAGTGTGTGTGTACATATTTCTGTGTCTTCACTATAAACAATATCTCTGCTGTTGAAATGGATCCACTACATCTGGAGGTCAGGCCTTATATTCAATCTTGAGCACATTGAAAAAAAAATCCATTAGGGTTCATCTTTCCTGCATCAGCCATTCTATTGTGGTGCTGCAGTGAGATCTGTTTTCATCAAGCAGATTCAATACGTGAGCTGGGCAATGAAAAGAGTGCAATAGAGTTAGATGAAGAAAGGAAAGGTTGGGGGGGGGGGGGGTTGTGGCAAGGAAAGCAAGGAGAAATTGTAAAGAGGAACAAGGTAACTCTTATTCAAAATGAGCATATACCTCCAGTTTTCTGTACCACCTGGATTTCATTAATAGATATTTTAGAGATAATTCAGTTGAATGAAATAAGGTTATGGTGGATGAACAAAAGGCTGAAAGCTTCTGGTTTTTAATGTGGACCCATTTGATTTTGAAATATGAGGGCATTTGAAAGTACTCCAATGCAGGTGCAACAATATAAACACATAATAAATAGGCCGATTATATAACTACAAAGATGTAGACAAAGCACCATTAGAGCAGCAGTTGATCAAAGTCATGGAACTGTTAGACAGAATAGATAGGGTGTGTTGAGTTTGTTGTGCTTAGGTGAGCCACGGGACTTAATGATGTTTAACAATACATCTATAAATGGACCCAGCATTGCATTGTGGGTATAGTTTCTATTGGCCAAATCATAAAGATTTATGTTCACATATTAATAACCAAATATAGGTAGTGCAAAAACCTTCAAATATATTTTTAGTTCTTTGCAGTTTTCTTTAATTTGTCCGACTACTTTTGAGTAATGGATATGCTTTCTAAATGTATTTCAATGTTAATAACACACACACACTATATATATATATATATATATATATATATATATATATATATATATAT